GGGGCCTGTGCTGAAACCATTCTTTATATCAAACAAGCTACTTAAACGCAATTGGTGAGTATTGTTTACTTGTCTGATTGAAGTAGGTTACTGATATTATTGTTTATATTAATGCGCCATATAAATTACCAGGTCGACAGATACATTGGATGCTTCAGCACATCAGAAAAAGAAATTCGATCCCTTGCTACAGGGCAGGAAACCCGATTTCTTGATATTCACATCAGTAAAAAACAAGAAAGAATCCTTATTTGTGACAGAAGTGAAATCACCCAAGCATTGTGCAGCAAAGTGCTTGCTTAGTGACAAAGTCAAATTAGGAAACCAGATGAAGGATTCACTGGACAAGATGGTTGATTGGCATAGAAAGTGCAGATGTTGTCATTTGTGGTCTTCTTGTACAAGGTAGATCTTCTTTGTCATGCACTTCAATCTCTATAACTTGTGTTTCATTTCATTTTGCAATATCTAGCATTCCAGTGTTCCCTATACACAATGGATTTGCAATATGATGCCATTTATAGGATGACCTCATTGGGGCAATTTTTTCTTCCTCGGAACAATCATGACTTTTGGGGATTATCTAATGCTTTCCAAGTGCTGATGAATGCAAAGGTCTGCAAAATGTTTTTTGTCATCTTAACCCGGACACAACTATCATTTGTAACTTGTAATTTTTATTTAAAAAAACCACATAATTCGATGGTCTGCCATTCATTTCATACACCTATGAAGGTTTCTCTTTCTAATACTAAGGGACTGTGATTCAGTATTTATTCTAAAGAAAAGTTTGAAATTTCAGGGATCACCTATGAACTTTAGCTTTATGGATTGCCACTTCATAGGTGTCATTTCGAGATTACTGTACACAATCTTAGAAGAATGACATAGGATAATTCTACTTGCCTAGTTTAAATAAAGCAGTTTGTCAAATCAGAACCCAAAACAAAGTGACTGGTGAATGATTAAGCTTGCAAAAGATTGCATAGAGAAGTGCAAATGATGAATGTAGTTATGGAAGACCAAAGACTATATACACTTGTGTCGGCAAAAAGATCGTAGATCATTTTGCAATTCCAGTATATTACAGTCCGATTTATTATTCATATTTTATTGGATATAAATACTGCGGTAGTTAGAAATTACAGCTGAAAATATTGAGGCGTTTGGATCAGAGCCGTAAGGTTCAATTAAATGAGTTTCTAACTCTTGTTCTCAAATAAAAATCTAATTACCGATAAAACGAAATCCAACCGTCAATAAACATGATATGATTTACCCTGCATACCGTCCCTGAAAATCGACGATCGACACATCGATATATGGATTTAATGCATAACGAAACATCGTTAGCAAGCGATCTATTATTGAAACTGATTCGTTCGAATGAAAGGATAATAAATGCAATTTACAAGTTATTTAAAAAGCTCTCGTAA